TTCTCTAATAACGTCATGTGTTTACCATTTTTTTCAATGGAATTCTGCAGTTTATGTCATATTTAAATAAGCTATTCGTCGCGTGAGGTATCGCAGCTTTCCGTCCCCCACAAAGACTATAAAAAGCCAATATCCTGCTGTTTCCATACCTCTAATTTTTGAGAATCCATCATCTTGTTAAAGTTTTGCACTATTCTGAGCATTAGATAACCCCTATGTCGATGCAAAAACTTGAAAACATACGACAGTTTAGATTTTAGATATGAATGTTTGCATTTTGATCGCATTAAAAGGTATTACTGGCAGTATTTGAAAACAAATTGCAGCGTCAAGTTTTAAACATTTTGATTGGTTTGTGAAACGTGTTGAAATTTATTTTTTTCTTTTTTCTTTTTTCTTTTTCTTTTTTTCTTTTTGCTCTTTTTTGCCACATCAATCGCAGGGCTTAATTTCTTCTTCTTCTTCTTGTTCTTTATTGCTATAAAATGATTTATAGATTGTATCTGAGAATGTTAAATAGATTTTTAAATGTGAATTAACCCTGTGCGTCCATATTTTACAACAATGGATAAGCCTAAAACGCTGACCTTACGATAGACCTCTTCTCAGGGAACAGCGCGCCCGCCCCCAGTGCGACGCTCGACAAAAACCCGACAAAGCTTTTAAAACCGATTCTCCGTCTATTAGCTCTAGGGCTTTGGCTAAAAGGAGCGAGGTAACATGTGAAAAACTGAATAACTCGATTTTCTTAAATAAGAGAATCGATATTAATAGCTTTGGGGTTAATAAGTTTTTAATACATTTTCTGTAAAACGACTAAACGTTTCCTGCCGGCGTAACAGGCACTAACCAATCGGCGAGCAATAATTGTCGGCTTAATTTCCCACAAATCATTGTGAGCAGTGCACAAATTTCAAGAACTAAATCTGCTCAATGGACAATCATGAAGTCGATAAATCCCTTTGACTTTCTCAACTGAACAAGTGGAATTCATAGAAATCTTTAACAAATACGGAACGGGGTGCCGGAGTGTCGGAAAACACCACACAGTGCACTGAAAAGCATGGAAATATTATTTATGTAAATTCACGAGACATTATTACTATAACAGACAATTTTAAGATCGATTAGGAATGTTCTTAATCTTGGCGAATGTCCTAGAATAGATGCTTGGGATTATAGATATCATTTGTTTTGTTCGCCATCAGTAATGGACGAAATCCAAGGAGCTGTATCAGCTAATGGCTGCGGTGTCTAGCTCGGCAGGGCTTTTGGCCCAGAACATTCTTAGTATGCTCTGAGGAGATAAGAGAACCACGTCTATCTATAACTTGCAACTGATAGTAAAAGCGGTTTTTGAAAGCAAGTCTAACTTAATAACATTTAGGGTGGACATGGCGAACACTGAATAGGAAGAGACGTTTACCTCAAGGTGCGGTGACCCTGATCCTATAGGACAATTCTTTTGTCTTAGGTTTTCCAAATAAGCAATGAAAAGAGCTAGCGCTCAGTACTGAACCCTACCTTTGTGTAAAGTAGCTTGAAAACTTTCACAATGATAATAGGAGGTTTTCATTTATATAGCGCATTTCAGGCATTGTCTCAGTGACTGTACTGCTGCATATTAAGGCGCTATTAGCAGCCGTGCAACTTACAATCATGAGTGAATTGTTAGTACATTAGTGTTATGCATCAAAATTGGGATAGGCCGTTGAAAAGGGAGACAATCCCTTATATAACTCTTACACGAATAATTCAACCCCATTTATGCACCCCATTTTTACTGCAGGGAGATAGGGCTACCTTTTAAAGTCCTTATCCGAGAAGACTTGGAGGTCTAACAATTTACAGGGGGAAAAAAGGCATGCAAAGGCATTTGCAGCACCTCCTCAATTATCAGTTATCAGTTAACATGCTTGGTAGTTGGATAAATCATTGACGCACGAAGAAACAATGGGAAGCAATTTCAATTTTCAGTACTTTTTACGATTGCAAACAGTATGCTAGAATAGGGGACTCGTTTTAAGTAGACAGACGTCACTAGCTTATGGATATGGATAGTTTCTATCATGATTTATACAATAGTTTTTCACGAACGCGCACGCTATGTTATATCATAATTTAGCATAAACCTACTAGCATACTATCACGAATTCTGCAATATGATTGGCTAACGTACTCGCTATCTATCCTGTGATAGATAACGAGTAGCGAAAAACAAACAAATGCATGCTCAAGTTTCGACGAAATCTTTGCTTGTTCTCTAAAAAATCTTTAAAAGTCGATTATAGAAAAGACAAGACTGTATCAAGGAAAGGAATTGAGGTTTTGAACGGTACAGATAAGTAAAAACTGAAGAATTATGGCAATTTTAACACGAAAAAGCGGCCGTCAGATTTCGCTGAGATTTTCGTGTGCAAACTTACGACGGACAAACAACTGACTACTAAGATAATGATAGCATCTTAAAAGAATTCCCTCAAAAAAACAGAAAAAATCCAAAAGACAACTTATTCACATGTATTCAAGAAGAATTTTAAACGGTAAGAACAGACGAAACAATAAAGAAAGTGATAGTTAACTGACAAGAATCTTATATTAAGCAAATTGTAAACATAGCACGGCTTTGAATGATCTGACAACAAAGCATTTGTAAATAAATTATTTCAGTTTATCACTCATTAATTAGAAAAATGATTCCAAGAACTGATAAGATAAAAAAATATCGGAAAGAGAGTTTTGACATTAATAATAGAGACAAAAAGCTATAAAAAATAGAGCAAATTTAAGCTTTACGTTATACTTCGAGACGAGTTCGCAAATATGAATGAAAACACTGAGTTGCCGGTTGACCATCGCTTTGTACAGTAAAGTTTTCATTGTTATTCTTTGTTTTCAATGCTATAATATTGGCTAGTAGGTTTATGCTAAAACAATTAGACTACTCGTTCTCGTTTTCTATGAGTCAAATAGTCGATTCGGCGCTACGCGCCTCATCGACTATCTATTAACTCATAGAAAACTCGACCTCGTAGTCTAATTGCTAAATAGAAACATTGATATCACGTTAAAAACATTTTCTTCAGTGATACAAAGAAAAAGGAATTCAGTATTTTTTTCCAAGTTAAAGAGTTTTGATATCTCATTGTTAATTATTATTGACATAAATGATATCATCCATGTTATTATTCAACACTACGTCTTTCCTCTAAAAACAGGAAAATATCCATGTCTTTATTTAGCACATTTGATTGGTACGACATTTCGACGAGTAATAAGTTAAAGGATAATTTCGATACATTTCTCATAAGCCGACAAAAATGACCAAAACTATTATAAAAACATATATTTACTTTACAAACTACCGTATCGTCATTTTTACGCTCAATACCGTAAATTTAAAATGTTTTTGCCAAAATTTGTTCTCCAATAGCCAAGTACGAGTACAAAATACTACTATAAATGACACAAAGTCTTCACTTATAGTTCGTGGTCTAACTATTTATAAAGCACCATTTTTCCAAGTACTGCTAGCATTCTTCCTGTATCGAAGATCAAGATATTTTTTCAGTAGTATCTCGGCCCCTTTTGCATTCAACGTGTTCAAAAGCTGGTTTTCTTATGTGTTTTTACAGGCTAAATACACAATTTGAACATTGAAAACGTTTTTTCAATCGCTTCATATTTGAATATCCACTCCTTTCAGCAGTTAAAATGCTTCAGTTGTTTTCTATGGCTTTTTTTGCTAAAATCCGCACTTGAAATAACTATCCATTTCTTGTTCAGCAATTGCCAAAAACCATTTATGTGTTTGTTTACCTGAGTTTGAAGACAGACGCGTGCTCACTGTCAAATTTTACTATTTTTTGCTCTTCAAAACCTATTATGTAAAACAAATATATCAAGCTTAGCTATATTGTGTTACGACTCTGATAAAACACTCCTGAAGCTGCAAAACTCTTAAAAAGTTATATAAATCACTCGCCTACGACTCGCCTTTTTTCTATAACTCTCTTTGTGTCCTACAGCGCTCCAGGCTTATTTTATCAGAGATTATTCAATTTTCGTTTAATGTCCAAGATCCAAGCGCGCGATTGGTTAAAATCATAGCTTTAAAATCGATCACGTGATTTTGCTAACACATAAAAGTTGTGTGTTATTGACAATAACATAATTCTGTGTTACTATACTGTGTTAATTCTGGTTCATTTTGGTGGTTGCTGACTCGAAAGTTTACACTAATTCATCAACCACATACACCTTATCTACACCATATTTGTAAATACTTACTGTAAAATACCTGTTTCTATGTAATGTGTGTGTATACACCTAATTGAAAAAAACGTTGTCGGGTTCAAAAAAAGGTTACATCATCAAAGCTAAGACCAAAGGAGAGCATGGGAAGACAAACAATTATTCTAATTTCATGCGTATTTTGCAGTTTTCCCTTCCTGTGCACATTTTATGCATCATGGCTTTGGCATGTTATTAATCTAGTACCCCATTCACACCTAAACGTGTTTAGTTAAATTATGTTTTCATTAGGAAAAAAAATGAGAAACTGGAAACCTACAATATAATGAAACTTTCTAAAATATTGTTAGAGCAAGACAAAGGATAGTTTACATGCATTATTTCACCAAAATATTGTGCAGTGTTCGTAGATAGTTTTCYAAACCTGTTTAGTTAAACCACTTTAAAACATCATTAAGCCTTGGCGTGAATATGTGGTCATGTGAGCAAGGCTTGGTATTATTGATGGACATGATCACAGCGGCACTAGACTTGCTCCAAAGGGTTGGGCAAAAACGCGACAAGGAAGAAAATGACCGGATGATGAGACAAACAGCGGGTAGCAGGAGACCGGATAGTGATAGTCGGGGCATGTATATAAATTAAAAACATTGCAGTAATGCAATATCCAGTGATGAAGGAACAAAACGCATTAAAATGCAACATTAATTTATCTTTATTCTGTTATTCTGTTATTCTGTTATTAGGAAAGCAGGAATGACAATGACTCCGAACATGATCCTATTTGTTGCTGTCTTTGGAATTTTTGTTGTGTTAGTAAAGTCACAAAGCTACGATGTCCTTGTAAGTATTGCTCAATTTTTTTATCATTTGAGTACAGAAGACTATAATTAGTTCCATGCAGACTTCTGTTTGAGTTTTATAACGCCGACCAAACTTAATGCAGAAATGTCAGTTGTAGTCGTGTTTTTGTGATAAAACAGTGCATGGATTAACTTTGTACAAAGTCCTCAAGAAAATTTTGTCATGTCATATTTATAAGTCTGAATTGAACTTAAATCGCAATCTGGCCAGTCACAGTATCATTTTTATTAGAAGTATATCTAGTAAGCGTGCTCTGATTGGTCTACGACTGTGCTTTTTTCATGAACGCATGCAGCACAGTGCTGGCGCCATCCGCTCGAAGCCAGCTTTTTTGAGAAGGGGTTAGCACGTGACACCTACATCTGCTGGCCCGCATCTCCTGGCCCCACACGCATCTGGTGCCCCTTGACCATAACTCGGTAACGAAGCAAGCTATGGAAACTTGGTAGCATTGGTGAGACTTGAGTTGTCAATCATCAGACCACGTGGCATGGCGTGACGTCACATATCACGTGACTTACGAACAAAACATTTCCGCCGATTTTTGCGAACACTCATTACAATGAATGCTATGGTAACGAAACTTGGTACGATGGGTGAGACTTGTGCTGTCAGTCATCTGACCACGTGACATGGGGTGAAGTCACATACCACGTGGCTTAACAACCAAACATTATCGCCAAGTTTGGTATGTAATCATGAATTATTCATAAAACCTATGTTAACCGGACTCGCTTCCACATACCTCTCCATCCTACCTACATATGCTGGTTCGCATCTCCTGGCCCATGCACATGCATCTGGTGGCCCCTTGGTCATAACACCTGAACGAAGCAAGCTATCGTAAGGAAACTTGATAGCATTGGTGAGACTTGTGTTGTCAATCACCTGAACACGTGACAAGGCATTCCACATACCACGTGACTTAGAAGAACAAAACTACTGTCATACTCATAACGAGCTAGAGTAAATTATTGTTTTATTGATGCTTACCTTATTCACCGTTTATTTAGAAAGATTGGTGATATTTTTGATCTTATCAAAATGAGCTTAAAGAAAAAAGTTCTTTTTTTTCATTACACATATATAATTAAACTGAAGAATATCGATAAAATTATCTATTAATACCGCTATAGATTTAATAAAATTCAATAAAATGGAACATTTGTTGATTTCAGTAAACGCGTAATAAAATTTAAGTGTTTATTAAACGTACCACTAATATAAAACTGCAGGTTTGCGAAGGACCGAAAGGTTATGTTTGAATGGTCATGATCAACAAAGCCTGATTGATCGCAATTAGCATCGTAAAAACTGCCCAATATGTCTTTGACTGGAACCACTTCAGTAATTTCGACTATTTCACTCATTGAAGTCGCCAAATCCTCTGGTGCCTCACTTCTTGCGAGAAAATTTTCCTTGAAATCTCCTTACAAAGAATCAAATACGACTCCACCAGCTATCCGGCTCCCCATCCTATTTTATCTGGTAGCCGTTTGCAATCTTCTTTTACTTTGGCTGATGAGTTTGTTCTATTCACCCTCTCTTTCCATGCTGTCAACGAATGCCAACACTCGGTTCAAGGTTCTTTAAAGTACTGAATATTCCTTCGTTTAATGACATGATTACATACAATAGTTCGTTACACTCCTAGTCCTTAGTCCTTAGTCTTTGATTAGATTTCTCACTTGCATATAAAATATATCTTATTACATTTATATATTTTTCTTTATTCATGTATTTTTGTAATTAGTTATAATGTAATGGTAAATTAGGTATGATCCCATATTGGGAACCTAATAAACTTATTGTATTGTATTGTATTGTATTGTAAGTCATGTAATATGTGACGTCAGTCATGTGTCGTGGTCAGATGATTGACAACACGAGTCATCCTTTCTGCAAAGTTTCTTTACCATAGCACTCAATGTAATGACTATAGACCTTATTCGTGGTGTGACAATGTTTTCCCAATTCAGCGTGACAAACTCTGGGGGAATGAAGAGCTATTGTTTTGAAACTCGTTGGGATACTCATGAATTTTTCGAAGAGTAAAAACAAAAGAAAATGAATCCTCTGGAGGTTTGTCACGCTGAATTGGGAAAACATTGTCACACCACGAATAAGGTCTATTGGCGCGAGGAAGGTCGGCGAAAATGTATGATTCGCAAGTCAGGTGATATGTGACGTCACGTCATATCAAGTGGTCAGATAACTGGCAACACAAGGTTTCACCAAATGCAACAAGTTTCGTTACCGTAGGATTCATTGTAATAAGTATTCGCAAAAATCGGCGGAAATGTTTGGTTCGTTAATCACGTGACATGTGACGTCACGCCATGTCGCTATGTCGGATGATTGACAACACAAGTCTAATCAATGCTACCAAGTTTCGTTACCATAGCATGCCTCGTTAAGGTGTTATCGCCAAGGGGCCACCAGATGCGTGTGCATGGGCCAGGAGATGCAGGTCCACCAGATGTAGGTAGGATGGGGCCACGAGAGGTATGTGGAAGTGAATATTAATTTTGTTAAAATAAGTATTATTTCATTTGATGAAATGATAACATGCAATTGTTCGTCAGTCAAAACTAATGGCAAAAAGCGGTATTAATGTTTGGTTGTTAACCCACTTAATATGTGACGTCACTCCATGTCACGTGGTCAGATGACTGACAACACAAGTCTCACCCAACGTACCAAGTTTCGTTACTATAGCATTTATTGTAATAACAGCATTGGAAAAAATTGCCCATACATTTGGAATATTTGCTCTTTTCGGTCTCTTTCCTCTCTTTCCAAAGCAAAAGTTTGTAGTAAAAGTAAAGTTATACAGCACAAGGAAACTGCGTTACAAAACATCCTAAATGACCCGTAAATCTTCTGTTCTTTCAGTATAGTAACTATTCATAAGTAACTAATAGTTAGCGTGTTTTCGAGGCTACGAAATCTAAGAAACCATAAGAGGCGAATGTATAGGCCAACAGATAGTATGCCGGAGCTTATAAAATCAGCAAAAATACGGTTCTAAATTTTAACAAATTCCTATGAATTATATACCAAAATGTTCAGGAAAGCCCGGGGTTTTCAAATCTACTTCTGTTTTTTGAAAGGTTCTGTTTTATATCAAGGAGAGACGATTTTCTAGCTTGACCCCTGTTATGTCATGCATTTTCTCTTGTAAAATACGTCAATAGCACAATAGCGTACATTACTTAAAAAGTACGGTGTTTTTTTTTTTTTTCAATAGAATTCAATCTAAACCATATAATACAGTCCGTGAATAGTTGAATTAACTGAATCGACTTCTGTTTTTTTGCCTAGATGGTCATTATTTTGAGAAAAGATCCAAAAACCGTGTTTTTGAGACATAATTTGTATGGGCTTACATGAGGGGGCGTGAGCTTGAAATCGTAGCTGACCAAATGTTAACAGATTTTTTCTGATGTAGCGAAAATCGGCGATGTTTGATTCGTAAGTCACGTGGTATGTGACGTCACGCCATGTCACGTGGTCTGATGATTGACAACACAAGTCTCACCAATGCTACCAAGTTTCGTTACCACAGCTTGCTTTTTTCCCGAGTTATGGTCAAGGGGCCACCAGAAGCGTGTGGGGCCAGGAGATGCGGGCCCGCAGATGTAGGTGGCACGTGCCAGCCTTACTTGGCTTTTTTCAACCTCGGTTTTCATTGGTTTACTTGATCCTGAATTTTCATTGGTTGTTGCTTTGTTATGATTTTTTGGCGCGCCAGGGCACGTCTGAGCGAGAAATATAATGACAGATTTAAACAAGATGTAGGCAAGACTGGAAGTAATAATACGAAAATCTCATAAAAGCTTATTTAAATGTAAATTTCTTATCTAAATGCAATCTGGTACGTCCAAAAGTGATGGAGGGAGGAGAAACGCAAAAGAAAGTTTACTACCGACAGGAAGAAAAAAGATCATCATGCATAGCTGTTTGTAGTCTGTGTGGGAATGAAGTCGAAACTCGCCACTTACTACGTACGAGTTTTTGGTAAATCTGGACTTACAAAAGAAATAGCGGCCAAAGTGTTAACTACAAGAGGTGTAAGAATCGAAGAAACCGATTCCGTTATATGCTTATTCAATGTGCCCGCATACCTCCAGTTATTTCTTCAGCGGTATTTTCAAAACACCCGACACATATGCTGGGTGTCGGATTTGTCACGTGACTAGCCAACGCCAGGGTCTTCTCTCCTCCGCATGAGAGGGCCCTGGGAGCGAGGTTGGGCTTTTTTTTAGCAACAAACCGAACAAATTCAACGGAATGACGGATTTCCTCCTCACCACTTTAAAGTTATAAACGTTTTTCACGAAATTGCTGATGACAAACTTTCAACATTGCATGATAATAACAATAATGATAATAATAATAATAATATTAATAATAATGATGATGATATTAATTCTTATGGCGCAAATTCAAAACAGCGTTTTCAAATGCACCTTCTAGCAATCCAAACATATACATTTTACTAATTAAATAAGTCTAAATATGGAATATTGAAAAGCTCACGCGTGTTTGTCCATTTGTGCCGCTTCCAGAGATAAATAAAATTTGGGGAATAAAACTCTCTCTCCAAAATTTATTAATTCACTTGTGTTGAAAATACTAAGGGTAAATATAGATCTTATTAGACATTTTAGGGTGGAATACGAATGGATATTTTTCCGAGTCTTCTGTATTTGGTCGAGCCCGATAGGGCGAGCTATTTATTATCCAAATGAGCTTAGTAACCCCCCCCCCCAAATATACACAATAATATACACAATAACCTAGAGTACAAATATCGTAGGATATTTTACTCGCTCCAGTCTTTCTCCTGCGTTATATGTACCCTAACTCGTAATAGTACCTATACACGGTCGTTACTTCATTTGCAAAGTGATGGTCATAAAATTTCGCTGTTACCCGTTAACCGTTCATACAAAACCGGAAGTGATGAAAACGTAAGTTTTTTCAAAATTTTCTAGTTTTTCAAAATTAAAATATCGGGAGATCAAATAATTGCTTTGTGTTCTTGGACACTTGATATATAACAAAATACTTATTAACTGGAACCTCAGAAAAGCTGTGGTCCTCGATAGGAAGTTCATCGCCATCACTTGTGACCACGATTTTCCTCACAGTCAATAATTGTTAAATGTAGACAAATAAAACTATAATATAAAAGCTCGATAGCAGTAGAGGGAGGCACTATTACGTCGTTTCGATCTCAACGTACTAAGACTATTTCTCATACATAGTCTTACTTGTATATATGTTTCAGTGCTCTGATATCAGAGGTGATAAGTGCGTGAAGGATGAAAACTGCAAATGCTCAGAAGCTACCTTCATTTGTAACAGATTCTCAAGATGCGATCGGCCTACGCTAGAGGATATCCGGTACAGACAGCCGGTACGTACTATGAGAACCAACCAACCATTGGTATCACTCAACCTTTCCATTATGTACTATTTAATAAACAAGCCGGAGTGTTCACATTTTCTAGCGCTTTCACAATGTTTTTCGGCACACCTTAAAGTGAACAGAGATCAAATCATTGTTCATGTTGACCTGAATGTTTTTTAGTTATAGTACAAGGACGAGGACGAAATACCTCGCGCGCTCATGCCTCGTACTCATGCTTTCGGATCTCTGACCGCCGTCCGGTATCCTGACGTAAGACTTAATCATCCACGCGTGCGCACGGGAAAACCGATTGTCAAACAACGAAACAAATCAAAAACTCAAGTGGAAAAGTAAATGGGAAAAAAAAGAAATTTACCGGCCTAAAGTCAGTCCGGATAGGGGAACACTGTGCCAGAATTCTTTGAAACGGAACTATTTGGCCTAACGGCCTCGATCCGTATGTTTAAGTCCTCGGGTACAGTGTTTCCCTCTCCGGACAGACTTTAGGCCGGTAGTGAAACACCAATACACCAATCTACCAACAATTCTTTATATTTTCCCTTTCAGTGTCGTGGCATCTTCAAAAGTTCTTGCGTAGACGACTCAGACTGTAACTGCAAAGGAGATCGATTAGTTTGCGAAGACAACGAATGTGTAAGATCAAAAACGATAACGGCATTTTGAACTTGGAGAAAAACGTCTTGAACGATGATGGGTCAAGTGAAGAATGACAGAATCGTGTGTTCCATTAATTGTACTACTGTTAAATACTGTCAACAGGAAAAATAACTGTTGATGAGTATATAAATGATATTGTAAGGCAATAAAAACAGAATGCTGTCAAAGAAGAATGGTGAATGAGTGGATGAGTGGATGGGTGGATGGATGGATGGATGGATGGGTGGATGGGTGGATGGGTGGATGGGTTCTAACCGGTTCTGCTGTGGTCATCGCGAGAAAGTAATGATCTAAGGACTAGGGGATGATTCACCTCTCCCTTATTAGGAATCGTGCGAGCTTCCTGATTAGTTTGTAATAGACCATTTTCGAGTTCCAAATTACCGCTGTGTTCCTTGATGACAGACTTGTTTACTCAGAGTTAGCCTCGAATCATTGTCTAAATATTCACAAATACCAACGGTAACGTAAAACATGAACAACAATCCCTTTGAACTTCCACGGTCCTTCACTGGAACACATGAATATTCTACACAAAATCTAGGCTAACCCTGAGCAACAGAGAACTCGAAACTGGGCGTTGTCGGGCCGAAATCTCCGGCATAGATGTAAATAAATGCTTTTGCTGCAATAAATAGTACCTTCAACAGATGAACTTTAAAATCAGACCAGACGTCTGGGCCGGTTGTACAAAGGGTGGGTAGCGCTACCTGACGGATAAATCTAATCAATGGGTAAATTTACTGGGTAACAGCATCAAGTTTTTTGCGCGAGTCTGTGTTTTCGATCTAACTACTCTCACTCTTATGGATTTTGTCCCGTGTAAACAACCCTCCATTAGCCCCCCCCCCCCCCCCCCCCCCCCCCTGCAGGTAGATAGTTTTGTATTTGAATGACGAAAATCTTTGACAAAGTTTTTCATGGCCGACATTATTTTATTGCGCTTTGCTGCTTAATTCTACTTGAAAAACTAAAGATAATCCTGATAGTAACAGCATGACCTAAGGCTGGTTAGCGATTTTGTCGATCGGTTAATCTTCATGGTCCTCTTCATCTGAGTCATTTGAATCATCCATCCATTAATTGCTGTCAGTTTTGCTGTAATTACAGAGAACTTGTAACGTCTGCAGTTACGAGATCAACCTTGCCAGAAGTCCATAACTAGTTGTAAACTAAGAGCATCCCAACTGGAATTGAACCGTTTGGCTTACCTATACCACACACTCAATAGCATTGAGTTTTAGAAATGCGTTTTTTTAAGAAGTAAAGTTATTCTTATTATTATTATCATCATAATCATCAAATCATCATTATTATTATCATTATTATTATTACTTTGCACTGAATACTACATATAAAGACGTTTTGAGGATCAGTCTATTTTTCTTCCACCTCCTACTCTCCCCCTTTTTCATCCAGTCTTGATAAAAAGTTCTAATACCAATTACATTAAACAGAATCACAGGCAGCCCATACATACTGCATTCTGATTGGTCGAACGTGATACCAAGCTCGAAACAAATTCCCCTTCCCCGACAGACTTGGGTTTGTTGCCAATCAGAATGCAGTATGTAACGTGACCCGCTCACGCTTTACAACGGCCGTTTGAACACCATCGATCACACGCTGTAGAAGAAATCAAATATTCGACTTTAAGCCAGGATTTTTCTGGAAATATTTGGCGTGGTGGCATTCAGATACATGTTATGATAGAGAAATTATCGTTCTTTGACATGTTGCATTTTTTTTGCGGTTCAAGGAAAGAGAGACAGATTTGTTTTGGATTTTCTAGCGTGATGTAGTCGATATCGGGTGCTAAGTCTCCTGCAGCCTTCCCATTATTTAGGTAGAGAAGAGCGGATTTTAAAAAAACCCACTAAACGGCCTCAAATCGCGCTGAAACGTTGCCAGAAGACTGAACAAAGTAAAAGCAACGACTGCAACAAGTTTTGAAGCAAATCGTTGAGTGAAACATTTTATTTTCGTAACTTTATCATAACTCCCATACATTCCCTTATAAACCATACACAGGAACCTTGTTTGGGCTGCCTGTGACAGAATCAGTTGAAAACGGTATTTGTTTAGTATTCCCTCTTTCCCTTATCGGATTAAAGACGGTTAATTGTCAGTTTAAAACTGCTCTTTTGGCCAATTGTCAGTTAACTACTAACCCAATAGGCACCCTCTAAGAAAGGTAGACAGGTACATTTCTCAAATATGCGGCTATTTAGAAATAATTCYGCGCGTGCTGTGAGCAGTTTTAAAGCACGCGAGGGCCAACTCCTTACAGCACAGCAAGCAAATGTTTTATTTCTCTTGTAAAATAGAATAACCGTTATTTTGGATAGGAATGACGCTACTGCCTCTCCTGTGCTGTTGTGATTGGTCACATGACATGTATTAATCATTTACCACCGTTGCTTTTGCATTCAAGCTCGAGCGCAAGCACAACAAAAAGGAAAAACATTGATTCTTGTGCTTGTGATTATGCTTGTGCTTATGCTTGCGTTCAACAGTTTTCATGATGAAATAAGGCCATACATGTGCTTGTGTTTGGCTTATGCTTGCGTCGTAGTGAAAACCTGGCTCAACAGTTATTTTATAATTAATGACTCAGATAAGCATATTCAAACTGGCCATTGTCCCACGGATCGATCATTAAAGGGCATATTTTGTCGATTGTTTAAATATTTTTTTATTTTAGAAGACATTATCTTGACCTCAAATTAATTGAAAAAATCATTTTTTGCCGATTTTATTTTTTTAGTGACTAATAGAAAGTAATCGCGCACGCTTTTTGCAAGGTCATAATTGATGCACGCGCTCTTTGTTTTGATAGAGTAGTTTATCTTATACGGTGGTAATGGGTTTTATATGTCAAAAACTCATGATATAATTCATGCAGTCTTCCATCCAATATTGGAAAGACCCTCAAGTCACGTGCATGGACCTCTATAGCCTAATGACGATGGGAACGTTCAATATAATGTTCTTATCCTTATTAGTATTCTTCATATGAAAAATACTAATGAGGATAACTTTACTAGGCAACAAATCTCGTTGCTAGTGTCACTTTCTTGAGTTTGGGATGCTGTCTTCAGTCAAATTGTGGAGCTTTTTGGGAGTCACTGCGCTTGGTGCGTGTACAAACCCCATGCACAGCGCATGGCAGTGTATGTATGTATATAAAACTGTATACAGTCAATGTTGTCGTCGACCAACTCAAGCCTACGCGACTGGACCGAAAGAAACTCTGGGTAGCAATCATTAAAGCCGAGTTGACTCCATAATTTTATCTGACTAGTTATGCCTGGTTTACAGCACGAACCTTCAAGGTAAGCAAGGTAAGGCAAGCGGGAAGTGTTGAAGGAGACGTTTTTTAAATGCCTTCATATATTCGAAATTGTGAACTGAATCATAAGTACTTTGTTTTTGCTTCCTTAAACCCAAAGACATGCATTTGATGGATTGTTTCTTGCCATTATTATCTTATTACTAGCGGGAACAATTTATTTATAACGAATAGTTAAACCGCTCCAGTGATTTTTACCCATATTCCTTTCGGTCCAGTCGCGTAGGCTTGAACCGGTCGACGACAACGTTTTTTGAATTGACTGTATGTTCGCGACGTGTGACCAAAGGTTTGTGAATTATTCATGTTTTTTGAAGTTGATCCATTAATGAACTCGAAAATCGTGTTTTATCAGGTCTAAAACCACTTGGCTATGCCTCGTGCTCAACCTGATATCTTGCTAGTCGCGTTTGTTAAACAGTACTTATCTAAAATTAAAATCTATTGTATACTTTTGTGAAGCTGCAGTTTCTTTGACAGCCAGGTATCCACTCAACAAAATCAGTTTAATGCATAGAAGAAAAAATAATAACAAAAATAAAAAACATGCGAAGTCCCATTGAAAGTTCTCGCGAATGTTCTGTGACGATTTCAAAGGCACAAAAAGCCGGTGATATAAGAAAGTATTGAAACTTTTCAACGACTTTTAAATATTTAGAAAACTTATATGGAGTTTTCATTTTTTTAAATTAATTTTACGTGCATAATAATAATAATTTATGCGATGGTGAGTTGGACATGCAAATAAGTCTGTGCCATAACAGGTGCATTATTGATTAATGTAAATAAGCCAGTTTCACGGCTTCGTGGAACTCTCACATCAAAACATTGTATTTATATTTACTGGAAAGGTCGGTATCCGGGCGAAAAAAATCGATAGCCAGAAAAGCCACGACTGTTAGAACAAGATGAATCGGTGGGATGTAGACCAGAGGGCCAATCCACCACATTCCAATCGCAGATCCAGCGAATGTTACTGGTTGAACTAGGAGAAGAACCAGAAAAATAGTCGCCCAGTCTCGTTGATCCTTCTTCTTCAAACCGCCGGGAGTATCCCACCAGTCTAGAAGAGTCGGAGAAAATAGAGTTGCCCAGATAGAAGCAATAGCTCCAACACCGTACAGAACTGAGAGAGTAATAAGCCAGTCTTCTCCGAGAACAATGTCTTTCATGTTGAAGTCTAAATGGAAAGTTTCTCTCAACTTGGACTGCAAAAGAAATTAAAAATAAGTTTCCAGCTAAGCTCAGTTACGAACTATAGACTTCCTCCAAATAAAAATTTCACGGATAAGATTCCTGTATTTTTTTTTATAGAAACTGTATCATAACTTACCCAAAAGCTTAGAAAATTTTGAAGGCGTTATATCTGAGCGAAAGGTTTGAGTTCTGAATGCGTTAATGAATTCGTTGATCGAAAATAACATTCGTCATAGTGCCTAACGACGGTTGCCATGTAAAATTCGATCTAAGTTTTAAATATTAATGAGTTTTCTACCTAAAAATATCGTAATTTGAAAGATCGTCAAATATTAGTCTATGAAGTAGAAGAGTTCGTTCTGAGCATAAAAATACAATGTTTTTGTTCTTCGATTTCAATGCCATCTTACTCGTTACGTTTTCCTTATTCCTTGTATTCTTTCTTTCTTCTTTCTTTTTTTCTGTTCCAATTTCATTTCCGTTATCTCTCTCTTTTTATTCGTTCACCTTTTTAAAGAAAAAAATTAGAGTGCATTTAGTCAAACTGTCAAATAGTTTAGATAATTTATCTATAGTTTAGATAACTGTTTAGTAAATACGTACCAAGGAACGGTCGTGCGAATCGCGGGTTACGAATGAAATAGCCGTTTACTCGTGTGTTCAAATTGATTTTGCCTAATTTAGAGTGATCAGTAACTTGGCTAATGAAACTGAAAGTTGTAATTTTTTAGTCACTAACAGTCAAAGTAAAACAAAAGAAAACAATGGAATTGGTGTCTACAAACAGTTTGTTTAAATTCACTCTTCTACAATGAATAAAGATTAAAGATAATAAGCGGGGAATATTCACTTTTTAGGAGGGAAGTGGGCCGAAGGAATCCAGGGGAGGGATTGAACTTCTCACTCAGTCAAAAAGGGGTGTCATCAAATATTTCATGCAATAAAATAAAGGGGAGGAACAAATTTCAAGAAGGGTCACATTTTATAAAGTCAGAAGACAGGGGGGCTAAAAAGTTTACCCCTTTCTTTCTCCTACAAAATGCATTATCCCTAGTACCATCAATTTATTATATCGGGCTCTATCGGGCTGCCTGTGGTCACAACCGCTGCCCTGCCTTAGGCTAAAGGTTCGGCTCACAATCAAAAAACATGGGAATGGTTTTGAAGAAAAATCAAAAAATCTCACTTGATTTCTTCAACTATTCAATCCGTTTGCTCAGTAACAGGCCACAAATAATGGCTCAGAGACTAAACCTAGGTAAAGATAAATATATTGAATACTATCACAGCCCTGGTAGCTTGCCTGGTGTGATATTTTTACCGGGTTTGATGTCCAACATGAATGGAACCAAGGCTTTAGCTTTAGAGAAATTCTGTCAGGCTACTGGGCGAGCTTATACTAGGTTTGATCATCGAGGGATGGGTTTGTCGAGTGGTAAGCCAGAGGAATGCACGATAGGATCAAGGAAGGAAGATGTCCTTAGTTTGCTTCATGTGGTAAAAGGTAAGCAAATAAGCTAGCTGAAAAACTTCAATATTGCGAGGGTGAAACAGTCAAAGACTATTTCTTTATTTATTTTCTATTTCTTTCTTCACATAATGAACTGAAAATTGTAATTAAAATTTAATGATAACAACAAAATACTTATACTTTTTCTATGAATTCTAGAATACGGCTGTAAAACATTTTTCTCAAACTCTGACACAAAATTGCTTTTTACCTATGTATTGTTTTAGAAAATAATAATAAAAAAGGAATGAGTCCTGTGCAAAAATTAGGGGTTTTGCCCTGTTGAAGTTCAAAACATTTAAGGTTCTGCAATAAAATTTTGATTGTTCGGCAGCGATTTTGAGCAGTTTTTGTGTGCACACATACCATTAGCCCAGTTTCCCTCCCCACGTTGCGTGACGTCCCTAAGAACGGCTGCAAAGGAGGCTAACATACCATGGGCTCAAATTGAATGTGCAAAAGTAGTCAGTCTTTCACCATGATTACAGAATTTAAAAATACTTTGCAAATATATATTTTGCAGAATTTTCACAGCTTTCTCCAGCAATTGCCTTCTTTATCTTTTTTTATTTCATAAGGGCCCCAAATTCTCGTGGGGTCCAGTCTAGGTGGCTGGATTATGTTCCTTGTTGCCATGAAGATACCACATAGAATTCAAGGCTTGGTTGGCATAGCAACAGCAGTTGATTTTTTGAGTAGGAGATTTGACAGCCTACCTGAAGAAACTAAAGAAGAAATCAAAACTACTGGGGAATGGCTGTTGCCTACTCCATATAGTGAAAACCCATATATTCTAACGTGGGATATGATACAAGATGCTCGTCGACACGTATTGGGTGACTCCACACCCGTACACTGCCCAATCAGATTGATTCATGGCATGAAAGATGAAGAGGTTCCTTACAAAGTTTCTCTTGATGTTGCTAAAGGAGTGCAGAGTAAGGATGTGAATGTAATATTGGTAAAAGATGGATATCACAGACTCTCAGAACCAAAAAATATTCTTCTTATTACAAGGACAATTCAAGAACTGGTTCAAGAACTAAGTTTGCCAACATGAAAGATAAAATTTGTCCTACTTGAAACTGGGGCTTATTAGCAACCTTATTGAGATATCAGGAACATTGCCATTCCCCTTATCCTAGCAATTTGCTAGTGTCAAAGAATAGACCACTTTATAAATTAGTAGCTTTGTGTAATGTTTTCCCATTTCAGGCCACTGAGAGCCTTCATTAAGTTTTGAAATAATAGGGCATTATAATCAACTTCCAAAGAGTCCTGGGGATCAAGTGAACATTTTACCAGCTATTAATAGTACTAGTGTAAGCTGGAGAATTTTGCTCAGTTACCAAAGCATTTTCCGACCCCCGACCCTTATTGAAATAATTATTGCTTGAATTGTTTCCATATTTATGTGTTTTCTCAAGCTCAGCGGTTAAACAAAGAAATGATACTTTAGAGAATGGGGAAAACATTACAGCAAAGCTAAAGTATTCTTTCAGCTATCATACCCATTCATGTAAGGGTTAGCATTGAAGGGGCACTGGGTTTGTTAGTGTTAACAAAAATGGGGGCTATATGACCCCCTATTTATCATTTCCTCCTCAGTGGACCATGATAAAAAACAATAGCGCAGCGCAGCCGTGACGTCATAAAAACGAAGACAAAGGCGAAATTTGGACAAACAATCTTACAAGTTTACTTTCAGCAGATAATTTTGACAGCCCATCGCAGTTGATCTTAGTTTACATGGGTTATTATTGTAACTTTAAGTAAAAATAATAAAATCGGTTAGTATGATTCTCGTAGTGGTTAAACAGAATGCAATGTTTGTCTGAATCTTTAAGCTATTTTTAGAATCAGTGCGCTGCGCTATTGTTTAATATGATTTGTTCTTTTCATGAGAAGTGATTGCATTCACATGCCATTGTACATTTAATATTTTATTTTAGATAGTTGAATGAGCATTTTTGCTTGTGAAATTATATGTAAGGCATTTAGAAAAACAACAGAACCAAATGAAAGAGAAAAAATGCAAACTTAAATTTCAAATTAAGTAAAAAAATAATAAAAACATTTTGATCAAAGATTTAGCCTTTATACAAGAAAGCATATTGAAGGTAAGGGCCACTTAGACAAGAGAACCAATTACCAACTTTGGGTAATGGATCCAATCAATAACCTAGACTGCATGAGAATTTGACCCTGATGTTACATGTAAATAACTATGGATAGCCATTGTCATTTTCTCCTGGGAATAAAAAAATGTTGAAAGGCTATTGTTCTCTGCTGCTTCCTGATTGGCTCCTTTGCCCAAAGTTGGAATGTATTGTTTTTATTCTACAATTTGGTTGCTTCTCACAGTCTAAGTGTCCCTGGTCTCACTGTAAGAAATTACAGCATTATTTTATGCATTCAACAACAGTCTACTGTTTAGTTGAAGGGGACAAAGTTGCCAGAATGTAATGAAACTAACTCATATTTTGGTCACATCCTGGTTGGCTAAGTAAGTTTGGCATCAGCATATTGTGCAGTAGGGCATGGGTTCAAGCTGCCGGCCAGACCAGCACTTAAGATAATGAATCTGAGTAGAAGGTGTTGCAACTGTCATGTGTCATGCTCTCTAACATAAAGTCAATTATTATAATTATTTCTATATATTATTTGAAATTCTATTGATTTTCATTTCAATTATTGTTGACTTTTTGTGCATAACTTTTGATCATAAATGTTTTGACCACATGAAATAGATATCACTTCAATTTGTTTCTTATATACAACTTTCCTCATAACTTTCAAGTTAATTTTCATCCTTAAATCTTAATTCAAAAATGCATGAATAATTAAATGAGCCTTTGAACTAATTGGAGCAATCACACAGGTCATGTGCATGGACCTTTAAACCTGATAAAGTCCTCTTTATTAGTGTTCTTATAAAGAAATATAAACACGCTGGGAGCTGCAGAGCACAAGAGATGCAAGCTTAGGAACACAAGGCATACTGTACATGTAGCTGAAAGTGTTATATTTCTTATATATATCTTATAAAATAATACTAATGAGGATGAGCACTTCATATAATTTTATACCAAAGCTCTCATCCTTATAAGTATTCTTTATAATAAAAACAATGTAATGAGGAGGACCTTATCATGTACAGTAAGCTCTTAGTTTTGCATAATGACACCAAGAGTTCCTATTAAGGAAAACTGGTTCTTGACTGGACAGGTTGTGAATTTAGTATCTTATATTAGTAATTTATTGGCTGATAACATATAAACGCTGTATACACCTATTTAAAGAAAGGTTGTCAAAGCCGACGGAAATATTACATAACAGGAAATGGCAGAAATGACTTTTTTTATTATTATTTTCATCAAGAACACAAGTTAGTGTTGAGATATCCAGACAAAGGCCTAGATAATTCATGTTTAGTTTGATGCCCATAACATTCTTTTCTATCTTGGAATGAGCTATTGGTAATATCCTTTGGCTCTAATGACTTATTTCAATATAGGTGTATACTTAAGCCGGGACTTGTAAGACCAGTCTTGGGTCGTATACCTTGTTATCAGCTTAGAAATACACTGACATAGCAAACATGATGCATTCTGGAGCCATCTTGGGAACAAAATTATCCTTTTTCATCATGCCTTGTATGATGCTTTTTGTACCCAACCTACACCAGAATGCATCACATTTATCAAACTCAGAAAAAAGCCTATGAAATATCTAGACTAGCTGGGGTACATTATCTGGCACTACATCTGGTTTAGAAACATTATTGTGTACATGTACGGGAATAGTAAGATGTTCATCGCTAGAGATAGTTGATACACTTGGATCCCTTATAAGCAGTTCATCATCATCATCAATCAATTCGTCATCATCTTCATTTTGATCTCCAGATACAGAGTTCATAAGTGAGGTTGTGTCATCAGTTTGGTTTGACTTGTCCGCTTCGTTATGATCTTTTTCCAGGTAAAATGCACATAAGATGAAGGCCAACCCCCCAAGGACACAAATAAATGTGGTGATTAATAATGAATATTCCATGCTTGTTTGGCGATCAGCCACCGAAGAGTTATTACCTCTTATTGCATCAGAAATCTGGGATAAAATAGAGCAAAGTTAAACATTTCATATGAAACATGAAATTCGTTTTGAACAGTGAAACAATTTGTCATTATCTTGAGAATAAGATAATTTCTTTGTTTGAGTTCATGAGTATCTATATTCACATATGTGTGTCTTCTCATGTGTAACCATTTTGAAACAAAAACATCATAATACTCTACTAAGAGAAAACGCTAAACCCAAGCTAAAGGTGTCTGTCTATTTGAAAAGCAATCACTAAGCCATAAGTCAATATTTTGCAAGGTCATTTACCTGTCCAATAAGCCATGGACTTCCTGCGTCACCAAATAAGTGAGACACCAATATCTGCACTGCTTCAGCACTGGATCGACGAGAAGAAACTATAATGTACTAAAAAAAGAAATTGAGAAAGAAGTTGATGAATAGATTGGCATGTGATTTTCACCTTTTCAGAGGTAATGAATATACGGTATAATTATGTGATCAGTTAATAAATGTGTTGATTGACACTTGTCTAACTGCTGGCTGATTATTGGTTCTCTACCAATGCAATTAGTTAATGGTGGCCATTTGCTGACAAGGCAAAGTGAAGTTTGCAGTGGGGTGTTACTAAGACAGGTAACACAGTAACAAGAGTAAACCGAGTAACTGGAAAACGAGGAACATGACATGTTTTATATTGAAAAATTTGAAATAAATAATAATAAATAATAATTATAATGTGTATTTTCTGTTGTGTTTTATACGAAAAATACAGTGCCAATAATATTATGGATGGGCTCCTGCTGGTTGTAGTAGTTTAGCTTTTTACACAAATTCCTTCTGCCATTTGTGTCTCACAACTGTTTATCTTTAAGGTAACTGCCTACTTTAGGAAAAGGATTTAAACTTCGATTTTCCGAATTGAAATTCAATGCTGATTCCAAATCTGAAGCTTGCGCACATCAAGGGCTCAAATCGAATGTTCAAAAGTAGTCAGCCACCTTAATACAGCCATAGGCAACATAACTGTAAACAGTGAGAGAAAATCATGTAAGAATTCTTGACCAATGTGTAAAATAATTAAGCTGAAGTTGCTGATGAAAATCTGGGCTAATTCTGTGGCTTCTTGTCCACCATCTTGAATTTCTTAAATCCATGGGGAATTGCTTTATTTGTAAGTATCCTTAAGTAAATGTTTTATGATTATTAAGCCTTAATCAGCTTTTTCAACAAATGAAAAAAAATCATGTTACTTGTTATCTGGTTACTTGGTTTACTCATTACTGCGTTGCTTGTTTATAGTAACACCTGCTTGCCGACAGGTATATGGTTGGTTGGTCATGTCAAAGTTAAATTAAGGTATTATGTTACAGCTTACCAAAACCATATCTCCTACTGGTGCCCAGTTCATGCACAGCAGAACTTCTCCAATGAAAATAGCTGTCTGTAATGAATACAAGCTGAATTATATTGAATAATTATTAGCCTGGGCTAATGCAGACAAGGGTATTTGACATTGAGGTATACTGTAATAATGTCTATTATTATATAACTTTAGACATCAATGAAATACTAGGTTTTCTCTAGTGTCAAAAACTTGATATCTTTCACCAGTGGAAGATACCATATCTTTCACACGTGAAAATATCGCTGTTGAATCGGCTTTGAGCTTTTGTTTTATTTAAGTTTCATCGATATCTATATAATAAACAGAACATTACATGGCCACTTGGAGATACGAATTTTTATTATCTTCTCGCGTTAAATTTAGATATCTCACGAGTGAGCGCAGCGAATATCAATTGAACACTTGAAGATAATTTCCATATCTCCGTGCGACCATGTATTATTCTCTATTTATTATTGGATAAAATTGGTATCTCCGCGCGCCCATGTAATATGCTCTATATTAAATTAGGTTATGTTAGTTATGATCAAGTATAAGCTTAGTGTACATGTGCATGGACTTAAATAACACCTTCACTTAGTTTATAGTAGTATAACATACCAAACAAAATACTCATTTTCTGAAAGCTGAATAAACATAGTTTATATAAAGAAATCTTTAAAGTGCAGCTTTGATGAAAATTTAATGTCTCCAATTTAAATGTTTTAATGTTAAAGTGCTTAAGTGCCTAACTCAATATTTTCAGTATTGATTCTACATGAAGTGAATATTTGAATGGAAAAATTTATTTAAACAATTTGAGTGATGCATCTTGAAGATATTAAGATTTATACTTCCAATAATTACTATGTCAATGAGTTTGATATCATCATAAGCATGATTAAAATATACACAACTTTTCTAGGGCAGTAAAACATCCTGTATAATACATCGTCTTACAAAGGGTTTATAGAAAGGGTATAATTGCAAATTTTTTGTTATCATATATACTAATCAGTGCTTCAATTTACAAATTATGACAAATAAACTCAAATTCCTATAATGACATCAAGCTCATTAGCATATTGGAAGTATAAACGTTAATACTGTATCTTCACGATATGCATCACTCTAATCATATAAAAATATTTTACCATTGAAAAATTCACTTTATGTAGAATCAATACTGAAAATGTCAAGTTAGGTGGTATAGGCACTTTAAAGTACTTTACAATTAAAGAAGAAAACCTGGTGTTTTTCATTCCTTGTTAGCATTTTTGGTTCGAGAGATATTCAAATGTTAAATCTATGCTAATTAGGAGGTTGATGACATCATAATCTCAAATCGCAGTGTCCTTCAACATCAGTATACAGTATTCATTATATTTCAGTATGTTTTTGAGGGACGCCATTCAAACTTTGCAGTATACTTGTATTCAAAATATGGAACATGCATAAACTGAGGTTGCTATTGCAACAATTTTACCCTTTCAGCAATTGCTTTCTTATTTTATAACTTGAGCAGAAAATGGTTTGACTAAATTTGTGACTACGACCATAACAGATATTTCAACCTCGGTGTGCAACAAATGCAGACTGCCAACTACAGACCAGATCAAAACAAAAAATCCAAATACATGAACTAACTATATTTGTGATAACTATTTGTAATACATGAAATAATTTTGTAAGGCAAAAGCGTAAAGTAATATATCGTGTATGTTAAAAAAAGTCTTGCACAAAAAATATATCATCCTAGCTACAAGGATAAAACACAAATGGTTCAGCCACTTTCCTCAAAAATCAAAGTATTTAAGTATTGAATATTATTATTATTATATCATCATATATCTTTTTCTTTCCATTACCATTTTTGTATTACATTTGTGTGTCATGTTATTTGATATTACTGCAATATATCGGGTCGATTGACACTGTACATCAATAATGTTAATGACTAACAACAAATTTACTATGCTGAAAGCATGTCAGTGACAGCGATCCTGGACATTAAAATTTAATGCTTCTTGAATTTATAGACAATTTTTTCAAATATATTTCATGTATTTGGATTTTTTGTTTTGATCTGGTCTGCAGTCGGCGTTTGTCGCACACCGATGTCAACCTAGCCTCATTCGAAAAAATCATCTCTTGTAAAGGCAGAAATTTCAAAAACTTGAAATATTAGGTAGGGGTGGCCTGGAACCAAGGCTGTTGCTATGGCAGCTTATCTCTATAGCTACTTTTAAAGAACAGCTAGACTACTATAATACTAGCAAATTTGGTTGATTTTTGATTGAAATTGGGATGAGATATAGGTTATCATAATCTTAGGCTGTTCAAGCATTGAGAGAATAAGTATTGAGAAAAGAAAATCACGGGGAAAATCAAGTTTTTTATATAATTTATACATATATTGACGACATAGGAATTAAAAAAATGAAAGTCAATTTTCCCCAGATATTATTTTTACCTTTCAGTTTTATCTAATTTGGGCTTCCTGTGATGGAAGGAGGGTCAGGTTAAATGTTAGCCACTGGCCATTCTGTACTACCCTTGCATCATGTAGTACAGTTTGTTTTTAAATCACATAAATGTGGTACAATACTTACATATGCGATGTAAACATGTGTATGAGCTAGCACAAGAGCTGTGTATAAAAATGGAGTGCAGGCAACCAGGCCTATAGCACACACGAGGGCATCAGCTTTTTTGTTGGTAGATCTCCATCGGCGAGCAATTTCTGCTCCTAACCATACACCAACAATTCCAGCAACGCATGTTATGATGCCAAATGTGAAGCTAACTCTGTGGAAAGTAGGAAAAACAAGATTAATCTTTCATAAGGGTGAGTTAGTTCTGAAGATGCTTGGTAATTGATTGTTGGTATGTTTCAGTTTAAAGTACGTTATAAAACATTCTGAGTTTGGGTATGCTATTCTGAATAGCAAGTGAGCACTGACAATGTGACCAGACGCTTACTCCACCCATTGGGGGAGACCTCAGCCACAATTCCTGAATTCTACATGATAATATGTGAGTAGTATTAAATGTTGGCTCTTCTTCTTGATAATTAAATTGGGGAGTGGGGTCTAAATTGATGTCAATATTAAACTATGGGGTGCCGATCCAGTCAATATTCTCATCATTTATTTCATGGCTTATTGTATTTTTATTGTGGTCTTTGAATTTGCTTTATTGGTGATTACATTTAATTTTTGGTGGGACTGAATTTGCTGTTGAAGCAGCCGAATTTATTTGTACGGTCATTTGTTTAATCTTTGGCAATCAAATTAATATATTCTAATGCAGGATTTTTTAAATTTTAATCTAATTTATTTATGGTCTTTGGATTTTTAACATGCTAATTATGATGCAATGTGAGCTTCGATTTGACCAAGTGAGAGACATCTACATGATGGGTTTCAGGCAAATAATCATAACTATTTTACATACTTTTCTTTTGTTTCCTTCATTCCTTGTACTTGTGATGCGTAAAACAGAAACTTTGGTGCCCAGAATGCCAGAGCTCCTGTTACGAATGTCACACAGGTGAAGCCTACACAAAGCCAAATGAAGCTCTTTCTAAAAAATAATGAAGCATAATAACAAAGAATGTGTATGTAATACTAGCATAAACCTACTAGCATACTATCACGAATCCTGCAATCTGATTGGCTAACGTACTCACTATCTATCCTGTGATAGATAGCGAGTAGCAAAAAATAAACAATTGCATGCTTAAGTTTCGTCAAAATCTCTGCTTGTTCTCTAAAGAAATCTTAAAAACTGATTGTAGAAAAGACAAGACTGAAGGAAAGGAATTGAGGTTTTGAATGGTACAGTACAGATAAAACTGATTTAGATGGATTATGGCAATTTTAACACAAAAAAGTGGCCATCAGATTTGACTGAGATTTTCATGTGCAAACTTATGACGGACAAACAACTGACTACTGAGTTAATGATGGCATTTTAAAAGAATTCCCTCAAAGAACAGAAAAAATCATCTCAATGACTCTTTGTCATTTTAGTAACTCTAACCCAATCTAAGCTATTATTTATCACCAACAATTTTTCATGGCAGATAAAACTCAATTGTACTGGTTAGCTTACTAAATATTTGCACTGGTTTATAGGTACCCGTTTAGAAGTTGTTTTGTGAGTTATGGCATATAAAAAGTTCATGTTTTGAAGTTTTGAGTAACTGTCAAGTAAGGTTGGTACTGTAAATCACAAACTACTTCAGTTTATAGTCTTAATATACGGTTAGATATTTCTTAAAGTGATTCTAAACGTGGGCGGGTTTGCATGGGCGAGTAGGCAAATGCATGATCAATGATTTTATATGTGGGCGAGTTGGCGTGGGCGAGTTGTTCCGTGGGCAAGATGATTGGTTACCCTTATTCCCACACAATTCAAAAGCCTACAAACACTTCGCTTGTTAAAACAATTTTTATCTATTTCCATTTTGTTTTTTCCTACAAAAATTACAAAAATACTGAACTACGTCCCAGATGTGCAGACTGTCTATTGTTTATCAGTATGGATGCAGAAACTCTTTAATAAGTGAACAGCTGTCATTTTGGTTTGACAAAAAAATGAGAAAAATCGACGTTCAGACAGGAAATTTTTCAAAAAAAGCTTAAGACAGATGCATAATGAGTTTGATGCGCAAAGCATGGATGGTGGGTGAATGGATATCTGTAGATCAGAGGGTGGCCTGGTTTGTAGACAATAAGATGGATGGGTAGCTTGTTTGGTAGGTGGGTGGATGGATGGATGGAGGAATGGATAGGTGGGCGAATGTGTATATGTATATATGCATGGGTCAAATGTGTACATGGGTGGATGGAAATGACCTAGATCGAAAGGACTGCAGATAAAAAAGACCAGCATTCAGGTGGATGGGTGGGTAGAGCTTGCTTGGCAGGTGGGTGGATGGATGGAGCAATGGATGGGTAGTGAATGGAAGGATGAATAATAAATGAAAGATGAAGTACACTTATTATTTTTCTACTTACACTTGGAAAATATACTTCAAATCCTGCCAGTAACTAGTATTCACATGAACATTTGATGCAGACACTAGATTTGGATTGACACCCTTCTCTATCGCTCCTCTTGGTGGTTCATGAACAACAAACAACAATAAAAGAAAGCAAACAGAACCAAGCATTGGAGTAATCTGAAATAAGAATAAGAAACAAAATAAATAATCAAAAACCTAATTGATCTTTTGTGAGCAAGAAAATTGTGCTAACTTTCCAATGAAGTTGATAAATTGGAGGAAAGAAAACTTGAGAACCCACAGAAAAACACCTGGATGAACCAGGGTTTTACCATAAGCACAATCAATGCAAAATAAAAAATAAAAACAGGCTGCGCCCTAAAGGACACAGAAAGTTTTTTTTATATATCTTCTTTCGCTTCAAAATAATCATAAAGGTTTTTATGATCAAAAAATCCAGTCAGACTTCAACAGTACAAAGTTTTCCATCTAATAAAAACTGCCTTAAATGCCGATGTCCCTGAGATTATAATATTGTATACAAAGTAATATTTATAATGGACCATATGATGAGTTGACTCAGGAAAAGCCCTGATCTTCATTTAATATGCACTATCTTAGTGGAGCACTTGATTGGTGTCAGACCATTTGATGAGTGCTCTGCTATACATTTTCCCCATAACTGGGGTTTGGAATTCTAATGAGTTTGGTAATTAATGCTAATTTACTTAATGCTTAATTATATCAAATTAACCTAGCTGTGATTATTTATTTTTTGATAATGCTATTTCTTATAATTACTAAGCTGACAAATGGAGTCAAATTGTGACTGTGCAACACAGTGAGCTGCATCATCACATTCACTGGTTTGTACTTTATGAAACCCTTTGGTTGAATAAAACTTAAAAAATCTTGTAACAATTAAGTTTGTAGTGGTTATTGACCAGTTAGAGGTCTGTCTCACAAGCTTAGAACTCGGAAGCTTCAAATGTACATATAAAAAAAGTCATACATTTTTGTTAAGCATGTTCTAGAAAAAATATATTTATAAAAAATATTTAGTATAATATGTATGTAGAGTTCACAGAAAGTGCAATAAAAATAACATTTTAAAATTAAAATTTCTTCACACAKATTTTCCCTTATAATTTTGTTAGTTCAGCATACAGCTAATTAGCACATTTTTAGCAAAATCATTAGAATTCCTAAACCCAGTTATATATGGGTAAACGTTTTATTACTACTGAAATCATTCAGCTGTTAGCAGCACTAAAATAACAATCCATTGCATTTTGAATTTTGGTTAACTCATGTGACCATTTGAAGGGCCTCAAGTAGTAATGTGACATGTATTCAAATCATCAGAAAAGAGTAGGAAACCAAATGGTCACATGAGTTAACCAAAATTCAAAAAGTGAAAAATTGTTGTATTTTCAGCACTAGAAGCAGTTGTCATGAGTGATTTCAGTAAATATTTCATGTATTAATACTATTATTATTATTATTATTATTATGGTGATGATAAAGATGATGATGATGATGAAGATGATGATTGTAATGGTAATCGTGTACTCCATGACCAGCCGACTTGTGTCGGTCAAACTATCGCCCGACTGTTGGTCGACAGTTGCCTGACTATCGGCCGTCTATCGGCCATCTATCGGCCGTGAGTTGGCTGAGCGTTGGCTGGCTATAGGCCGTGTGTTGTCTGACTATCGGCCAATACACGGTCGACAGTTTTATTACTTCTTCAGGTTTTGTTGTCGGTCGATGCATGGCCAACGCACGACCAACAGTCGGCCAATTATCGGTAAAGTGTTGGTGAAGTGTCAATGATTTATTAAAGAACAGTAATCGTGAACAGTAATCGGTAATAATGATTTTTTAAAGAACAGGATTAAAATATAATGGGGCAGTAATAAGTTTGTGGGAAAAGTTTTACGTGATTTGGGGTTTCTGTTATCTTATTGATGGATCTAAATTGTACCAACTCACTGTTTGTTCGGCAAACCCTCTAAAGTATTTATAAAGAACTTTCTTTTGAAGCATTTTATTTATCACTTTAACAAAACATGTTTCAAGAAAAATCTGGAAAAATCATTAAAAACTTTTATTCTTTTTATTCAATTTTTGGTTTTAAGGATTCAAGTCTTCATTTTAATAAGTCGATGGTTAAAAATCGTTAAAAACTTTTATTTTAAATTTCAAATTCAAGTTATTATTTTAAAGATTCAAGTAGTCGTTTTTATAATAAGTCAATGAAATATTAAAGATTTGATAATATTAATGGAGTGTTGGTGAAATGACGGTCAAGTGTTGGCCAACATACAGCCGATAGTCAGGCAACTATCAACCAACAGTCAGGCGATAGTCAACCGACACGTGTCGGCTGGTCATGAAGTACACGATTACCGATTGTAATACCATGATTACCTCAGAATCCATGTTGTCTCCAGAGGGACGTTTAATCGCTAACATCCCTCTGGATGAGTAGTGAGAAGGGACATTTAGTTTAAAAAACTCTTATGAATTTAAACATAAGGAACGATTCCACTAAATTGCCCCTAATGAATATAATTATGAGGAACAATTTGTCTAAATGTCCCTTGTCACCATTTGTCAGGCAAGTTCCCTCATAAAATAATCACTAGGACCATAACATTGACCCAGTATCAATCTTATACTGAGACATGATGACTTTCTTACTACTAGAATATGCTAAAGACCTTAAGCACTATTATATACAGTAACAATAATTATAAAGAAATTGCATGTGCAATTGATGATTCATGCATGATTCTCTAGAGTACATGACAGTACATGGTAATCAAGACTCTTAAATTCATTCATTCCACTCACTATATTAATCAAAGTTGACTATATTTTGGTTTACCCTCCTTGGGATCTGTAACCATATTGTTACAAACAAGCATGACCTTTTGGCATGGTGATTAGTGATTAAATGTTCCCTCAAGCCTTGGGAGGTTAAGTTAGAATCCCTCCGCCTACGGCATCTGGACTTCAACAAAACCTCCCTCAGCTTTCAGGGACATTTAATCACTAATCACTCTACGGTCATACTATAACTTATATAAATTATTGTTATTTTTTATTCAATCAATAGCATCAGAAAACTGCCTCAATGAGAGAACAAACAAACAACAAAACAACTCTACATTTTGATGGTGGAACTGAGAATTGAACTGAACTGTACATGTAGTACCACCCATCTTTCATTTCTTGATGCTTAAGGCTGGAGATGGAGAAAGAAATAAAACTTACCCTTAACCCCCACTGCCACTCATCAAATGCAGCTGCTACTACAGATCCCACTATATAACCAAGACCACTGTGAATAAAAAGTATATCATACTTTAGCAATTGGTGGAAGGAGGTGATTACTAACTCACAAAACATCTGTCTTTCTTGGTGTTGCAGGATGCATTGCATTCTGGGCTGCTGTTCTTTGTATTGCAGGGTATTGATTAGCTCCAAACTGTAGTTTTTCTCAACTATTGAACATTACACTGTCTTCATGGTTCAGGTGTGCCCTGCAACACCAAGAAAGAGCTGACTTTTTCCATGTACAATGTCTTAAATATGTGGGCCATATTTGCAGAATAGAAAATTATGCACTATGGAAACAATAGTGTTGTTTGGCAAATGAATATCTAACAAGATAAGGAGAAAAGTGGAAAATCTTCTTGCAGTGGACAAACAACATATCTGAAAAATGATATAAACAAAAAGGACTTAGTGCCTATTGGAACATCTTTTTAATGCTGGGCGATTCATGTGCCATATGATAGAGATAAAGAAAAGATATCTATTCAAATTGGGTGGAGGAGCAGGTTAGCTGGAACTACTGGTCCTTTTATCACATTCAAACCAGCTTATGCATTTCTATCAAGGTTCAAAGATTCAGTTGCTTAATGGAAGTTTGATTTTCATACTGCTTTGAAACTTGCATTGATTAAACGAATGTTGTAAATTTCAATCCAGACCTTTACTTTAAAACATCAAAACGTTCATTTGCGAAAGAACTTTTCGAACAAAACATTACACCACACAAATGACTTTAAAATGGTAGTTAGAATTGTAGAAATAATTTTAGCTTTGCACCGTCCAATCTGTGAAGAACTAAATAAACTTTTAATCCRAGCCCAGAATTCRAATTTRCAAMRTTYGTTTYATTAATGCAAGMTTCAAAACAAGATGGAAATCAAACTTCAAATGATAAAATGAATCTTTGAACCTTTATAGGAACGCATGAGCTGGTTTGACTGTAAAGTAAAATAACTCTCAAGGCTATAATTTGTATATTGACCAATTCTAGAAATGTTAAACAAGGGTTAGCGTTAGGGTTGATCAGTATATACATGTACAATGTAGAAAAAACTTTTGAGCAGTTTTTGGATTTACCTGCCAACAGGTATAGCAAAGTAAAATATAGAAAGCATTCTTGTCCTCATGTCTCCTGTAAACAGATCTGCTATGACTGTTGGTGCTATGGTAGAATAACTGGCTTCACCAATACCAACTACACCTCTTAGAACTAAAAACCACCAAAAATGCTGTAATGAGAAAAGAAGAATTCAGAATAATCAATATTAACATTTTACATGGTCAATAAATCCAAACGTTTATTAACCATAAATTTGTAGGTGAAAAATTTATGAAGGCAAAACTTTAATTCTTCAGTTTGATATTTCAAACTCTAAAGGTGCTGACATATGGTACAACATTGCACACAACATTGCAAGCAACAAATTTGAATCAGGTGACACACATTGCAACAAAATCTTGCAACATTGCTTGTGTCAGCCTGCTACTGTATGTTAAGATATTTGGTCACAGCAGTTATAAATTTGGTGTAAGGTGATTGGCTGGAAATTTCAAAATGTTGCAGGTAATGTTGCGGCCATGCTCACATGATGAAATTTGTTGCGAGCAATGTTGCGAGAGTAGAGCGTGATTCAACTTCAGATTTGTTGCATGCAGCGTTGCATGCAACAAGTTTGGGGTAGACAAGCTGCAACAGTACTGTTGTGTGCAATGTTGCACCCTGTGTGTCAACACCTTAAGTTTTGGTCCAGCCTGGGATTAAGCCCACAATATCCCACATGAAAGTCTCATGCTCAACCATTACTGAGCCAGCCAGGTGTTGGCTTGTACTTACATTGTCACTTAGAAGAGTACTGGAATAGACGACTAGTGACCAAACCAATACACCAACAGCCATCAAGTACTTCCTCTTAAGCCTGTCACCAAGGTAACCAAAAACCGGTGCAACTATCATGTAACTACAGATAAAGGAGGTCTGTAGCAGTCCTGTCAAAGAGTTGTCATCTTGTTTGTGGAAATATTTTTGTATTTGAATAAGGATACCTGAAGAAAGAAATGAATAACGCACACTACTATAAATGGAAAAAAGCCAAAATACTCTATGCCACTGACGACTTGCAGTAACAGGTCATCTGACCCTACCTCCCTTAAAATGAGACTTGGCAGTATGAGTGTAATATAATTCATAATTCAAGGGTTTTCTTTGGGTTCTATGAATTTTCTTACTTCACAATGTAAGCATGTCTCATCAACTAAATCGCTGATCTTGATTTTTTGGGGAAATTGTTGCAATGGGAAAGGACATTAAATTATAAATATGTTGAGGTGTGGGAGTATTTTGTAGATACCAAATACCCCTCCCTTGAATGTATGAATGAATGAAATACTAAACAACTCTATTTCAGTTATGCGCCTATCAATGTCTTGCCCCAATGGGGGGAGCCTGGGCATACCCAGGGCTATTGACATCTTTGAAAAAAAAATGTCAATGAGTCCCTCTTAAAGCCATATATCAAATTGCATGACAATAGGCCCCTCACAAGGAGCAGAGATACATGATATAATAWAAAGTACACCAGGAGAGAGCTTCATATTTCTAAGCAAAATAACTGAAAGGTAATACAGAAATTGAGCTTCAAGTCAGAAAATCATTGCCTGACTTCAGGAGTGGATATCTGTGCAATAACAGCAATCCAAACAGAGCATGCAATACAAGTCATGTTTAACATCTTTTGTGAGTAAATAAAAGAATACAACACGTTTAACTAATCTCTTCAGCAATTGTAAGCAAATAGAAATATACAACACGTTTAACAATTTCTGACATCTTTTTTTTCCTGCTATTTATTGACACAACATTTGAAAGTGAAACTTATTGTAACTTTTTTAAAAGAAAACTAAAAAACCCAAAAAAACAAATTGCATGTATTTAGGTTGAATAAGAGTGAAATTCCTTAGCTTTTTCACCTCTGACTTTCATGTCAATTCACAATTTTGCTTAGGCCAACTCTCTCATTCCCAGTCTTTCTCTGACCAAATTGTCAATACACCCTACCATGGGGGGACCCTTGTGTCAATAAAAGCCTGGCCGCCCCTGTCAATGGGCAAGGTTCTTATGTCAAATAGCCAGTGAATGCCCAGCTCCCCCCGTTGGGGGAAGACATTGATAGGTGCATTAGATCAACAACATTTAAAAAATAATCTTACAGTTGTTTACATCTAAGCATGAACACATGACACTAAAACATGTTCTAATAATTATTATTATTAATTATCAATTATTGGTCACTGAAATGTAGGAAGTTAGTCAACTAGAAAGTGCACATTTGGCCTGCAGCTCTTTAAAATCTCAGAAAACATTCTAATTTCAAATAGCTGCACACCAAACGAGCACTTTCTGACCAACTTCAAAATGTTTCAGCGACCAATTAGAACATGTTTTAGTGTCATGTGTTCAAGCTTGGATGCAAACAATTGTAAAAACATATTTTCATGTGCTTGTTTCTTCATTTCATTTTCAGGATAACAGTAATTAACCTAAAAAAGTCATATTATTGAAAACAGGAAGTGGGCAGGAGTACCAGTCGTTTTGTAGGATTCTTGTCACCACGAATTTGTATTTATTCTTAATTAAATAAGCTTCAAAATAGTTTATAAAAACCTTTTTTTAAATAGGGTTTTTATATACTTATCATTACATATAAATCATATAAATTATACAATCTTTTTGAAATTTTGAAGACCTTGAATAACAAGTTGGGGATTTGAGCCCAGTTTTCACCCGACTGCGTGGGAACGGCGTGTAAACTTAAATTATGGAAGGTTTCAGGTCCAACCAATTCTGAGATAGATAAGTAATAAGCCAAAAGATTTGTAAATTAGGTATTTAACCTTACCTGCAATGGTAAACCTGTCCATATAGTTGAGCAGATTGATGAGAACAAGTACTGCAACAGTCAAGTAAGCACGACAGTTCGTCCCAAAAACTGGAGCGGCTACTCTAGGCATATCGGATATTTCGTTGTTTCGAGCTTCCTCTTCTGGACTTATGGAATTAGTGTCCCTCTCGTTGGACATAACCTCGAAGTTGGAGCTTATATTTTTTGTAGTTTTTTGGCCGTTTTGATTGTGAAATATTTTGTTTTTCTTCCTCGAAGCTGCGTGATGAACAAGAGATTCCTAATGAGGGACGGTTACATAGAAATACACAGGAAGCCCAAATCATAAAGGTCAATTTAGTACTTAATATATTTTCAGCGCTAGCGGTCATGGGTATAAATCCTGTTACACTGTGTTACGGTCACCAAGAAGTTCAAATTGACTGACGTTAAAAAAAAAATTAGTTCGAATTCTTTAGTTCTGAGCTTTTTAAACARCAAAAGGAAAAGCTTCAATGAAGAGAAATGAAATTCTTGGGGACCGTAACATGATCCAACACGATTTGACAGCTAGCGCTCAAATGGTGAATTGCCTTATAAGCTTCGAGATGCATCCTCGGAAACCTAGGGGTCAGAATCTTATAACCCCCGGGTTCCCAAGGATGGTCGTAACGGCATGTTGCATATATAAAATACTTTCTACCATGTATTTAATATCATTGATCACGGCAGTGTACCACCTGAGTCCGTGGGCGTTTCGTTCATTCCATTTTCGTTTGAATTTTTAAGAAGTGAAATCGAAAAACAATAAAATTTTCATGTTTTCAACAACAGCGACAACTATTGGACTATGGGGGGAGGGGGGGTATTGGTGGGGTGATAGAGCGCAGATAAGGATACCGGAAGTAAGAGCATTTTCGAGTGTTCACCCCTCCCCTACACGTGGTGTTTTGTCATATGTCAGCGATATTGTGATTTCTTATTCGTGATTCAGAAAACTAAAATGCGATTTCTGATTCGGGAGGCGGAAATCCAAAATCCTGCATTCTCTCCTTCAAACTTGTATTTTCGCCCATGCAATATACCTAGGCAGTGCCGAAAAGTAAGTTTTCTGATTTCTGAAACAGGAACATACTAAAGTAACTATTGTACAATTCCTGATTTCTGATTCCAATAATCGGGTTGGCCGCAAAGCATCCTGATTGTTTGAAATGCACTATAACGATCCAAATATCCCTCAAGATGATTTTAGTTAGCTAGTACAACTTAACAAGGATACGTTTAAATTGAATTCCGCTCTAGTTGATAATATCAGGGTTCTGTTTTTCTGTAAGAGGACAAGCGATGATAGTTCCCGCTGTGATTTCTTTTGTTTGGAGACATTTGACCAAAAAGTGCAGTTTCTACCCTGTTCGACGGCGCCTTTGATATTTTGGTCAGTTGGTAAAGTTTTGATGGACTCGTAATGCAGGTTTTGCCGGTTTAAGACACCAAATTCTATCAAACTTTGCCTAGTGCGACCCGCGAGATTCCCGCGGGTTGTGTTTTCCAGTCTTCCCCGTCCCAGCTGTCATGTGTGATTACCCATCTGACAGGTTTCTAACGATCGACGTGTTTCTGGCGGGCAACGAGCATTATTTGAAAATCAACTCAAAAAGACAGTAGGATTACCACCACGTTCAAGATCACTATAATGCTTCTCTAGCAATCCGCCCTTCCCTTCGCCATCCACCCAGTTTTCCACAGTTTCGAACATTTTTCAAGAAGTTTTTACTGGACTCGAACATCCCGGAAAGATCGCGTTCTCGAACTCGTCCCGAACTCGAACGAAGATTCTTTTGATCTAAAATTCATTAGATCCTATTGACTTCTTATTGGTAACGATTCTCTCGTCAAACGTCCTTCATAATTAAAGGTAAGTCCAAAAGCTAGATTGCATAGATTAGATATTATGATTCAATCTGGGCTTTTGTAAATTTCGCGGTCACTCGCTAATTCCAGATACACTATGGCAGTATATTGGACTTATTTCTTCCTTCAAAACTAATTTATTTTATCGATATTTACTAAAAATGAGCCTTAAACATGTGATTTAGTGCTGTTATGAAAGTTTAAGGTTTTCTTTTGGAAGTTTTTATGTAATTTCGTAGTGAAAATCCAGAATTTTACTATGTACTCATGAGTGAAAATATATACTGTAATGGGGTATCAAGTTTCAACAGTCTAAATTTGTTTTTGTTTTGAACAAAAACAAATTATTTCCCGATCTTGTACGAAATCAAAAAAGAGAAAGTTCAACTTACAAGTTTTCCCTTTGGCTGTAGATGAATTACGATCGAGTGGAAAACTTTGTATTTTTTGGACTGTCTTCCACACAAAGACGTCGTTTCCAAATGTCATAGTTAGTAGTTTACAATTGAAGAACAATGCCATTCTTGTTGAAAAGACTCTCAAAGTGTTTACAAAATTGAAGCTGACAAACCAGGGTGGAATTATTAACTATTTCAGTTTTTTCTTGTTTTCTAGACTTCCCAACATTAAATTTAAACAAGTATTAATTTTGATCAAACATCATTGTGTTGCCTCTACCTGGCCACATGTAACAATCATATCCTTATAAATAATTAAAAGAAAAATAAATATTTTTATTTTGTTCTACTACAATGTTTGTAAATTTTCTGTTCCCCTGCGGCATAACATTTATAACATGGGATAACAATGCAGTTTAGTGAAGCTGTTTCTATGACAATTTGTTTTTTTATTTTTTGAATCAGAAATGTATCAGTATAACTAGCTACTTTAATATAATAATGTCCAAGGGTGTTTCCTTTTTCAGTCAATAACTTAGACCAAAAGAGCTCTATCTTTATAGGGGAGGGGATCATGTGCAGGTGATGACTGCCAATTTTCAAAATTTGGGGTTTTCTCTGCTTGAAGCTTAAAGTAAATATTCTATTAATCAATTGCAACAAATTGCTTCAATATTAGTTTATACAGAATTTTTTTGAATTTTTATGCTTTTAAACTTAACTTTTCTAAAACAATTTCTTTGTTAAATTTGGTAAATGTAATATGGTAATTCTAGTCTTATATATATATACTGATTATGTTTTAAATTTATTTTCAGTATTTAAGAGTAAAGAGAAGATTATTATGGATGAAAATAATTTGAGTTCTGAATCAATCTGCAGTGATGACACAGAGTACTTACTAGGACAAAATGTTTCCATTAGAGAGATAGATGAGTTTGACTTAAAACCAAGCACCAAGTTTGAAAAAGCTGAAAAGATTTCTTCTTTAATGTATAATGAAAATAGACAATCTCCTAGGATAAGAAATGAGAACAGAAAAGGGCAGTATTTGATCGATTCATTTGATCAAAGAAAGGAAGAAAAGGGAAGAGCTCCAGCTAGTGAAAAGCTTCAGGAGTCGGATCTACATGGTTACCAGGAAAGAGGAAAGGCAAAATACTCAGCAAAACCTAATGGGAAAGAACCCTGCAAACAAAAATATCCTTCAACTCAAAAATTTATTTCTGATTCAAAATATCTTGCTATAGAAAAGAAAGGTAGTAATTTGGGGAAGCCATCTCAAGGAAGGACAAAAGTACAGTCTATTGCACAACAGGGAAAACCAAAACCATGTGTAGAAGAAGGAAAAAGAATCATTGGAGATGTAAAACAAAGGGAAGAACACAAAGATAAATCTAAAGATAGAATTTTTTATGATGATAAAAGAGTTGATTTGACTAGAGGAGGCCCTAAACTTGTCATATCAGAAGCACAACTAGAGCAGAGGAAAGGCTGGAGACATAAAAATTCTCCTGTTAACTTTGACAAATCATGGAACAGAGAAGTATATGAAGAAGAGGAACACTTTGATTCCCCAGAGCAAGCAGATGTTGGAAGCATTGCCTCTGAAGCAACTGAAGATTTGTTAAGGCAAGATGATGAACTGGATGGCTCTATTATTGAAAAACTGAAAGAATTGAACCTTGCTGTCAGCTTTGATGCTGATACTCAAGGTAACTTTCTCTCTTTTTTTTTTTTTTTTTGCAATAAATTAATCTAAGTTGATCGATTGTTGACTGGAGAACCAGGGGAAAAAATGATAAAAGAGGCAAGAAAGTATCAACAAACACCGGCTTTAAATTTACTTACCTAGCTATGACAGGGAAGGTCTGGGAATTGTGCATTGGTAAGAAGAAGTACAATCCACTGGAGGCCATGTAAGACATGAAGTGGAAATAAAAAAGGATTGAATAAGAAAAGAAGGGAAAGAAAAAGGAATATAGGAGTGTAATACGGTATGTGTACATGCATGTAGTGTCAATAATCAATGATTGATTTTTATTTTTATTTTTTATTATTCAGAACTAGATGATGACAAAGTAAAAGAAGGAGCACAGCTCTTATCAAAGCTGTTTGGGGGCAGTGTAGATAACTATTACAGCTCTTCAAGGTATTTTATAGTATGGAAATCACTAGAGGTAAAATGTCCTTTGGAATGCATATCTCAAGGCGGTAGATTTATGTACCAATGTGATGAGATGTTTGTGTACCACGTTCTGGAATGCAGGGAACTATTGGTGTGAGTGACCATAATGCTTGTGGCACTCATAGAAAGAAACACTGCTCTTGTCAGATGAACTTGGTGGATCTTGGTAATCTTGGAAATTATCCCAAGTTTGCATTATCCCAAGCTTATATTCGTTATAATTTCTGCTCATCCGGTTTCAAGTCCATTTTCTCTATATTCCCGTGGTAGACATAAATCTAATCACATGGTACATAAATCTTTTGCTGCAAGATGTAAATCATCCAACAGGCATTTTACTACTCTCAGACTAGTGATTTCCATAGTAAAATGATTGTTATCATGGTTTCATTACATTTCATTACATCCCGCTTATTGGTCAAAAGTAGTGCTGTTTTAAGGGGTCACAGTGCAGAATGACTTTATTGTATCTTGTGATCTGATCATCAAAGTTAATTATTAAATTATTAATTGGTTCTTTATTTTTTTCAGTCTGCATTCAGGATCTGCAAGTGGTCAAGAAAGTGAGAATTATTTTTAAGGCCTGTAATATTTTGCAATTTCCTCAGCTACTTGTCCTGCAATGCCATTGCAATACAAGTTGCTGGAGAATTGCATAGTGTAACAGAGGTTTTCTTACAATTGTTGTTGTTGCATGTAGCTTTGCATGAAGTAAAACTTAGTTCTACTTTTTGCAATGGAGTACAGCAACTGGCCACGCCATTACACCGTTTATCACGCCTCCAGCAACTATTCTCACAATTTTAAGGCATATTTCTCAAGAGTGCATGCATGCACACATTTTCAACTCATTCAAGATAGCAGTACAGTCTACAGAACTAAAAGTGACTATTCAAATGATTTTTAGTGAAATAGAAGGTGGAGATGAAGATGACCAAAATTGCTTATAATTAAGGGAGATAAAAAGGTTATTGGTGTTGGAAAATTGTCTGGTTCTTCTTCAGATACCAATACCATTGTATTGTATTGTATGTTTACCATGTTTGCTGCTACCTTGATTCTTGTGCCAAATATTATTATGAGTTACAAATTGTTGACAGTTGCTGACTGAGATGGTGAGCATTACACATAACCCTCACCAAGGCTGGCAACCAGCAATGCTACATTTTTAAGCATTGCGAGTTTCACATCAAATTTCACAGTGTAACAGGGCCTTAATTTAGAGAATATGTAAATATTATTTCACAGAAAATAGACCTTTCCCGAATTCGCTTGACTACTTGATGAATAGGAGAATCAAGTCCAGTCTTGAATGCAAACCATTGTTTCGTGGTCATCCATGCGAATTTGGGAAAGGTGTATTGCACAATACAGCAGTACTTTGGTGCAAGTTGTACAGTATGGGGTACTTGCTATTTGATCAAACCCTACCCCATCCCCTTTGCATCTGCTCTTATCCGTGATAAGTATACCTATGCAAAGTAGTACAACTAACCTGAATGGTCTATTGAACCCACCAGAATAGTGCACCTATGATACTTGCTTACTTTTAAAAGACCAAATTCATTGTGTTTTACCATCACAGACCACGTGTCATTCCCTTGAGAATGCGTTTTTTTAGTTGTCTTCTCGTGCTCAACCGTTAAACGAAAATATTAGTTAGAAGTTATACTCTTGGGAATGACATGTGGTCAGTAAGGGAAAGCATTGCACCATTATGAATTAGGTCTACACCTCTCTTATAAAATGTTTTGTGTATGTTTAATATTACATCATTTTCAATACTTTTTTTTCAATGTATGAATAACATTTAAATCTTTTTAAAAATATATCTTTATTTAAGCTTCAAGAGGCGAAAGCCAAATAGATGAAAAAAGAAACATCAGCAATGCTAGTAGTAAAGGAAGTGCTACTTCGTCTATGAACACTGGTAGCTTACAACAGACACCAGAAGAGATGAAGAAAAACCTCCCACGAAAAACGAAAGTCTCCTTTGCTACAGACGAAAGTACTTCGTTCGATAATTCCCCACATGTGATCAAGCGACGATCACCCATGAAAGCACACGAAGAGAATTACAGTCCAACATTAAAGCAAGAAGCGAGGTATGACGACAAGAGTGCTAGTTATGATGGGTTCGTAAGAGAGACTAGTGCTTTGAGAGCAGCAATGGATTATGATGATGACGATGATGATGGCGATGTTACCGATGAGAGATATAAACAGCAATCACCTTGCAGGTCTTCGGATTTTTACAGAGAAAATGAACCAAATCTGTTCAGTGGATGTCAAAGAGTGCAGCAGAAACAGCGCCTAGCTGATGTACACAAAAGAGAAGGTAAAGCAGTTTGCTATACGCCGAGCAATGTAATTCTTGTATTGAGAGGTTATTTGAAATTACGTGACCCAGACAACTAGATAAACTAGTTTGAGACTTCTGGGCTTTTGGTTCCCGTCAATTAAATTTCAAACAGACTGAGTTAGTATTTTTTGATTGACGAACACGGATACGGACGGGTTATGGAAAATTTTGTGTTTGTGTTTCAGACCAACCCGGTGGACAAGCTTATTCAACAGAAAAAGCTCCAAACGGGTAAGCAGTACTGTATCTTGAATTGCCGGGAGATGTCAAATTAATTCGAGTGAAAAGGAAAGGAAAGATAAACAAAGATAATATTCAATGGGCAATAAAAAGACGTGGAAAGAGAGTAAATGATAGGAGGGAAGGCAATAAAAGGGAACTAGAAAAAAATAAGACAACAAACTACGGCGTTTATTTAATTAATACGGATCGGGTGAAGCCAGTATTATTGAAATCAATGTACGTCACCGCGAATATTAATGAGGTGCCGAGTTTTAAAAGTGTCGCCCGCCTCTTCGTTTTCTTCGCGCCATTCCCCTTGGACACTGTCGCAATCGAAAGTGCGCTATTTGAATCCGAGTTTGCAGTGAAAAAAACAACAACTAGCGAGCGACACTTGGAGCAAGTCTAGTTGGTCGTTGATGTCTTTGCAAATCACTCGTATTTCGTAATACATAGTAAAGCATTGCGGTCAGAGTGCATGCTTCACCAACTTGAAAATCTACCACAGGTATCCCAATCTTTGAATGTGGCTTCTAAATATGAATATTTAAATATCAAGGTACAAAATTGAGCGATATTCTGAAAGTGGTCAGAGAAGACTGAACGAGGTGGAGGGCGAGCCACAATGGGATGGATTTTACACGTCAACTCCGCACAAAAATGCGCAGAGAGATGTGTCATCTGGAATCAGTAGCAAGGTAGGTGTATTCAGCTGTCAATGCTTGTTTTACAAATTTTGTTTTGCGCAGACGATGTAATATTTTCGAAATCCTTTCCCATTTCATTGTGGGCGCAAGAGGAAATTTAAGCATGTGTCATCTCTCGCAACAACAATTTCTCTCAATTTCCGCAATTAAAATCTTCAGACTTTTAATCGATACCTTGAAACAATTAGGGTTGGTGAAAGTCACAGCTAACTCAGTGATTGAACCTAAAGCAGCCTCAGCTTGGTCTGATCTATATCAGGGCATCGGTTTTGCGGAGGGAGAAAAAGTAGAGAACCCAAGAAAATCACTTAAATCAAGGGAGAAACCTAACAAACGCTAATCCCAAGTGATGCAAAGTCTACCGGGAGTCGAACCAAAGGCCCAGAGAAAAGGCTAGTGCCTTATCAAGGCAGCCGAATGGTTGTATACAAGGAAATGATATGGAGGTTGACATCGATATTGTTTGGGGCTTGAATTGGAGTGGGAAAAGTGGGAAATCCTCCTTCGCAAGGACCCTGCTAAACGCAACCGTCGGGTATTCCTCAAACAAGACCGATAACATGTTTTTTTTTCATAGGTTGACAGTTCTGATATCCAAAAAAAGTTGTACATGGAAAAGAAGGTAGTTTGAGCTACATCTTTCCAATTCTTTCCTTCTGCTTCATTTTCATATAATATTGCTTGCTCGTTTGTTTGGTTTCTTAAACTGTTATGTAGTGCTTTTCGCGCACGGAATCGTACAATTTGCCGTCGCATATGGAATGTCGTGGAAAAGCCTTGATTGACAGGCCGTAAACATCAACTTATAACATAACTAAGATATAACGCGCGCTCTGATTGGCTCTGTATCTATAAAGAAAAAATGTTTGGAGCACTTGTATGGAGAACGCTTGTGACGCCAAATTGGTGAAAATTCTGTGAAAAGTGCGAGCATTCTGATAAACCTAAAAAGACTACTAGCTGGTTTACCTTTCTGTACATTTTTAGGTAAAATATAACTATTGATTTTCTTTCCATAAAAAGCTCATAGCACATTTATTTTTTTTGAGCTCAAGTTTGGCTCACTATAATATTCGCCCTTTCATCGGCCAGCGTTTTTCTTGCTCAATCCTCCGTACAAGTCACCACAGCAGTCCAGCAAAATACCATGATTGTTACTGGAGTCCAAGTAAAGCTACTGATGCATTCTTTTGACTCTTTTTAAAAAAATATATACGGTTCAAAATGTTCAGATTGTGATGAAGCCAAGCTCCAACAAAGATCACTATGACTTCTCGGTCACTGCTCTGTCACAGCTCCGCCTCGTGCAACTCTCACGCTACCATAATGCTCTCCCAACTACCCAGTGCACCATAAATAGATTTACGCACGCTAAGAATTGACTATTGCTTAAAAAGTACGCAAGGTTGCGTGCGCATCCAATCTTGATGGGCCACAAAACTGAAAAACGCAAATTAATCAAAATTCAGAAGCCAGTTTTATATTTAAAGAGAAAATAATCAATTTTATGAATTCTTATCAAAAAAAAGTTCATAGAAATGTATGATAATTCTCATAATATGCTCCTGTTCTGGAATCGTGAAAACGGTCTTTTCGGATCTCAAGCACAGGTAGCCCGTGTTTTAAATGCTAATTGCTTTGTTTTATTACCAGCTACATGAAACAGAGGATCAACTAAATAAAAGTTCCAAGACGTTACTTGAGATTCAAAATGAAGTCGATAAAGCCTTAGTAAGGAAGAAGGTTTGTAATATTATTAATTAAGCACCTGTAATAAAACGACCTTGGACCTCTGTTCATTATGTCACCTCTATCATACGACCATTCGTTCTATCGTGCGATCATCCTTCCTACTTTCACCTGTAGTAGTCGCCTCTATTATACGACCATTCGTTCTATCATGTGATCATCCTTCATACGTCCACCTGTAGTAGTCGCCTCTATTATACGACCATTCGTTCTATCATGTGATCATCCTTCATACGTCCACCTGTAGCAGTCACCTGTGTCATACGACCATTCGTTCTATTATGCGATCATCCTTCATACGTTCACCTGTAGTAGTCGCCTCTATTATACGACCATTCGTTCTATCATGTGATCCTCCTTCATACTTTCACCTGTAGTAGTCACCTCTATCATACGACCATTCGTTCTATCATGCGATCATCTTTCATACTTTCACCTGTAGTAGTCACCTCTATTATACGACCATTCGTTCTATCATTCAACAGACATCAGTTTTTATGTGTCTGTCCTCTAGCTTATTGACGATAAATTGCGTCATTAGTAGTATGCGGACACACTATCTTAACAATGTGATGATGCAATTTATCGTCAATAAGAGGAGAGACACCGAAAAAACTGATGTCAATTTGTTAAAGTCACCAAAATCTACAAAGTTGAGGACGCTGAGGATCATTGTAAACCCTATTTCATATTAAACAAGTAAAGCTTTTGATAAGAACTGAAGCTTGTGGATAAAGCAGGAGATAAAATTGTAACTGTAAAAGATCTCAAGTCTATCAATAGACATCTAGTATTTGAAATATGTTGAATTTATTTACTCATTGATCCTTGCTGGTCTCAGCTTTGTGGTTATTCAGGTGACAAACGTTTTTGAAATAACTATATGACCTTTCCTTGCACCAGACGACCACCCTTCGAACAAACTTACATAAAAAGTGGTCGCTTTGTTATACGACCATTTGCTCTACCAGAAGACTATACACCAGACTTAAATAGTGTAGTGATAGTGACTTAGTAGTATTTAAAAAACGAGTAGGAGTGTTTTATCAGGTATAAAACAACGAGGCGTAACTGATGGCTCGTTTCAGGTTGCTCTTGAAGAAGTACAAGTACTCGATGATAAGTTAAAAAGAACAAGAGCGGATATCAAAACCTCAGAAAACCTGGTCGAGCAGTACCGACAACAAGTAACGAAAACCAGGTATGAAGCGTGGTGTTATACTAGGCAATGTTCCTTAAAAATTGCCTGACTTGTTTTTGCTTGACAACACAAAGTGCTTTGTAGGTGAATCAACAGGGTATGATACAGTATAGGCAAAGTTTCATGCAGCTTGTGCCACATATTCGACCAATGGGCTGGACCTTACAGAGGGAGGGAGAAAATCCAGAATATGCCGAAAGAAATCGGTGTGGGAAACTGAAGGAGGGACAGGTCGCAAATAATGGCAGTGGTTTGCTACAGAGAAAAATTATTGTCTACGCTAAATTCAAAATATATATAATCTAATAGCTTCTCGAAGGTTCTAAGACTGAGGAAAGGCAAAATGTCTCACATCTCAAAGTTGTTATAAACTTACTGCAGAAAAATGGACTTCTTTTTATAGATTTCTTTAAAATAGGCAAATAAAACATTACCAATTTTTGCCAAAATACGTTCCATGAAAACAAACTCTTGAAGACTTGTGCGTGTTTATCAGCATTTATCTGCATTATTATTTATATCGCTTCATAAACTGTCTTTAATTATTCGAAAAGTCCGAAGTTTTCGAAATGGATCAAGCTCTTCAAAATTTTATAATTCTATTATTAAGAATAAGATTAAAGATATTCATGTGAAAATAAAGTACACTAGAATTAATGATAATCAAATTACGGTATATTAAAATTCCTGTTTTATCAAGCTAGTCTTAGGCCCTGGCTAAACGAACAAACTTATTTCCAGAAACACGTTTCCCTAAATGTTTCCTAAGGTGGTAAAACTGTCAGGAAACATCGGGAAACAATGTTTCCATGCGTCTTGGAAACATGAAATGTTTCTGCCGCACTGCAAAAACATTTTTTGCGTCTTGGAAGCAAAATTTGTTGCACGCAGCAATGTTTCGCATGTGGCTAAACTGGGAAACATCGAGGAAACTTGGGCGCGGTAAACATATTTCTGGAAACATGTTCCCTCGTTCAGCCAGGCCTTAAGGTGGCTCGACTATAGAGTTCTCTCAGCGCGCTGCCTTTCATCTTGAACCGCTAATTGGCGGACGCAAACAATTCATTGGGGAAACCTTTTTTGAAAAGATGGAACTTTCGAAAAAGCATGTTTTTACTGAAATCGGAATTAATATCAAGCCGAACATTTCAAAACATTTCAGTAATGTCGTGGAAAATAGTTCATTTACGACCTGTTTTGAGCTCGTAATTTTATCTAAATTTATCTGTTAATAAATCATTTTGTTAGAAACGACTTAATATTGAAATTTATACAAGAGCACCTAGTGCTTTTGATGCAAGTGAAGTATCTGATGCAAGTAAAGGAACTGAAGCAAGTGAAGTAACTTAAGCAGGTGAAGGAATAGCTATATCAAGCAAGGCAACGAATAGCGCTTAAACAGTGTCACGTAACACGGTTAACAATGCGTTTCTGTAATAACTATTTTAATGTCTTGGTCGTCTTGGTTGTTGTCACATTGCTGAGTTCGTGTAGTGTGCTTTCTGGATGCATTCTTTTGCTTGAAACGACACTTGTTCTCCGAGTCTGCCGGACAACCCTTCTCCAGCAACTGCACGGATATTTGAAGGAATTCTTTAGAAACTTTCCTATCTCTCTACGCAACTCTGAAATCGTCCCAGCATAAACCAGTGGATTAATACAGTGATTAATACCAATGATGGCTGTTACTATTGCTGCTATATCACTTTGTACATCTGCAGTCACTAAATGAAGCGATCGTACTATCAACCAGGGCATCCAGCTAACAAGAAATGCTGAAGTTAAGATCAAAGCAGAAAGGTTCATTTTACGTTCTAAGTCTAGTCTAGATTGGATCATGCTTCGCTGTAGCATGGCATTGTGAGCCTTGATTTTTCTCAACGCTAAACAGAAGGATGTGATCATATTTAAAAAGGTGCCGAGTACACAGAAGACGCTAATAATCCCAGATCCGATGTCGATGATAGAATTTCCTACGTTCCTAACGTCTGTATGGGATTGAAGGTACCATTGTTTACGACCGAATAGTAAGGCTGCTGTTCCCATTGATACGCTGACACTAACGCAAACCGTCCAAATGACGGGCAAAATGATATTCAGCTTTGGGACTGTTAGTACAGGATCGCTGAGTATATTGAACGCGTCTCTTCGACTCAGACACATCAGATTGATTATCAGACAGTTAAGAAGACTGATTGCTGAGCAGACCACAAAGTTTATATCACTTATTACGTGGAGTATTTTGCCCTGGACGTTGAAGACAAACTGGGCAAGAATTAAAGGCATGTCTAAAACACAGCCAAAGATGTCTGCAACACACAGATGTGTGATCAATAGATAAGTGATGGTCATGTTTTGCTTCAACTCTCGTCGAAGAACACTGATAACTACACCATTACCAAAGACGCCTGACAACACGATAAACCAGAGGAGAATCCCACAGGTTATTCTAGTGAGAGGTTGTAACGAGTAGTATAGGGAATGGGGGTTCTAGCGCAGTGACCACACGAGGAT